ACCAGGGTGGGCCTTGTGGGAGTCCAGCGCCTTTAACCACCATGCCACTAGCCGGCCCCAATATTTTTAGTTATTTCATTCCTCACATGTAGTAAATTATAATAACTTGCCCCCACTTGTATATTCCTCTGGCAGGAGAGAGAGAAAAAGAGAGATCTATGGTAGGTCAACACTGTCCTTCTTAAAACGGGACACTGAAGATAACACCAGCTCTCCAAGTTGGAGTGATGTTTGTTTCTGTATGCACATTTTCAATTCAATTAAACAGTGACAGAGTACATATTATACATAAGATATTAAGGGATAGATGAAAACACATAAATGTTTCTAAAATATTTAGAAATTCTGACAGAAGAAACAAATAGTGATATATTTTGTATTACATTTATATAAAAGCAAATATAATACAAAACATAATTTATTATGTTTTATGCAGTGATAAACCCAAAACTATGTCCCATTCCAGGGAGAAAGCTAAAAGATGAGAAAAGAAGATATACATGCATACATAATAGAAGAGGTATTTATGGACAAAATCCATCTCATACAGCTATTTTTATTCAAATAAAATATTTTGGGGAACCAGCAGTTGGCGTAATGGCTATGTCGCTGGACTCCCACATAGTTGACTGCAGTTCGCATCCCGGACCCGGTGGCTTAAAACTCACGCTGGGCGCGTGTGCGTGTGTGCCCAAGATCCCAAGAGGAGAATGGAGGAGAAGGGATTGCGGTGTGACCATCCCCCCTGGGGGGTGATTTCTCGCTTTCTGTCTCTATGTCTCTCTCTATCTGGCGAGCACACGCGCCCTACAGCGAAAACCTCTCAAAAAAAATTTTTTTTTAAAGTAGTAATTATGGATAAATTGAAAAAGGTGGGAGAGACAAAAAAAGAGAAATCTATGCTAGGCTTAACATTCAACAGGACAACTCAAAGAAAACTTACACTATAATAGGTACCAAAACTTGAACATAAGCCTTCCCAAATGCATATTTTTAAAAATTTTTCTTTGGAAAGGGTTTTGCTATAGGGCACGTGTGCTCGCCAGAAAGACAGAGAGAGACAGAGAGACAGAAAGTGAGAAATCACCCCCCAGGCCACGCCACAATTCCTTCTCCTCCATTCTCCTCTTGGGATCTTGGGCACACATGCACACACGCCTGGCATGAGTTTAGGCCATTGGGTCCAGGACTCAAACCACAGTCGACTACATGAGAGTCCAGTGACATAGCCATTAGGCCAACTGCTGGTTCCATCAAACATATTATTTGGTAGCACAAATAAGCATTTTGGTTTGAGGGAAGAGAAACATTAGCTTCTTAAAAGTATGATATGAAGAGGTTAGATAAGAGAGTGTTAAAGCCTCAGGCTTTAGCATTTTGAGCCAATCAAAACTTAAAAATATAGGTCATCTTTAAAATACTATTATTAATTATTAGAGGAAAAATACACACACACACACACACACACACACACACACACACACACACACCTTAAACAGCAAGGATGAAAAATTTATAGAAAAATATATGTATGCTGGGAAAACAAAACCTCACCTAAAGTAATTGAAGGAGGTATCCCAGTAATGTCTAGGGAAAGGTACCAGAGAGAGTTCAAAGGTCATGGTATACATGCCTGACACGTTTAAAAAATGGCAAGGAGGTCTGTGCAGAGGGAGGGCATGAATGAATGGATTCCAGCGAAGAAGTTCAGGTCAGGGAGAAGGCGGGCCTGACCAGGAGGGTCATGTAGACCATCCTAAGGATGTTGGCTTTTATCTGGTATGAGCTGAAAAGTCAAGAGAGGGAACTGCACAGAGACCAACATGAGCAGCTTTGCATTTAGAATAATCACTTTGGCTGCTATGTGAGAACACATTGAGCCTTCTTTCAATCATAAAATGATAATGTACCTTATAGTGAGCTGTTGTAATATTATTAGTAATAATGATGATAACAACTATTACCAAGGAAAAAGATAGCACTTATTATGTACCATGTAATATGCTAACATTTTACATAATTATCTCAGTTTCCATAAATTACTGATTATCTCCATCTGAAAAACCTAAAAATGGAGCCTTACGGGGGTTCGAATAACCAGCCCACCAACACATAGCTGGACAGTGTTAGAGAATTGATTCTCATCTTGGTAATCGGACACCAGAGATGACTCTTTCTGGATGCACAGTTGAATACCCTGGACAATTTCGAGAACATGTCCCCACTCACCTCCACCCAGAGAGTCCTGTTTAATTGTTTTGGAGTGGGGCCTGGTGACTGGTATTATTTCAAGTTTCTAGGGTGTTGTCTAATGTACAGCCAGAATTGAAAATTATTGTGAATTAACAACTACTCTGTGAAGAAAAGGGGAGAAAAAGCTACTGAGTGGTCTTTTTGGGGAAAAAGAAACATTCATCTTTTTTTTTTTTCTGTGTAAAATGCTAGGATTAAGTAGTAACAGCTCTGTATGTTTTTGAAGAGAGAGAAGCTTGAGTGCATCGTCTGTTCTCTGTACTCACTTCGATCTTGGTCAGCCCCAGGAGGGCAACAGCCACGCGGACACTACTGCTCTCCAGAGTGCCAGTGATCGACCTTCGCTGGTACTCTACAGCCGACATCTGCTGCTGTGCTGCAAAAGCCAAAGCCTTTTCCTTGGCTTCATTAGTCAGGGGCACTTTAAGGTCCACATTCAGGATTTGACCAAGGCCGCATTTCAAATACAGAACTGAATTTTTCTTATTATACCCTAGGGGAAGCAAAAATATTCATGAATGCAATGCAATTTTATGCCCTTGATGTCATTGCCCAGAATAGATTTGGGAGATTTGAAATACAAAACTGCAGTTACGGCCTTCATTAAACAGAGGCAGAAATAAATGGGTAACATTTCTATTAGTTCTAATTCGGTGATTCAAGAGTAAGTTCACAAATTAAAGACACTTTTCGGCTATTCTAGAAGAAGATTTCTAGTCAAATAGTTCTTTAGAAATTTCAGTAAAAAATGCTGTGACCACATACTCCTATCAGTGATAGCAAGGTAAGGAGAGTAGAAAGAAATGCGGAAAAAAGATACCCATCAAGGATTGGGAAGAATTGTCATTTTGTTTCACTACCAACCTTACATTTTAATGCTTATTTTTTTAAGGAGTTAATAATCAAGAACTAGAGGTCAGGATAGAATTCCAAGTTATATAACAACCTATAGATTTTTCTAAGTGCAATGATTTAGAACTATCGTGAGAAATGGAAAATTTTCTTGAGAAAGTACTTTGTAGCCCAAATTTCAATATTTATCTGAAGACTGAAAAAGGAAGCTTCAAAAAAGAATCACTCTGGGACAAGCAGTTAGCGTAATGGCTATGTCACTGGGCTCCCACGTAGTCGACCGCGGTTCGCGTCTTGGACCCGGTGGCTTAAAACTCATGCTGGGCACGTGTGCGTGCGTGCCCAAGATCCCGAGAGGAGAATGGAGGAGAAGGGATTGCGACGTGGCCATCCTCCCTGGGAGGGGATTTCTCGCTTTCTGTCTCTCTCTGTCTGTCTGGCAAGTGCACACGCCCTATAGCAAAAACCTCTCCAAAAAAAAATAATAATAAAAATAATAATAAATAAATTTAAATAAATAAATAATTTGCTTTAAAAATTGGTATCTTTTAACTGGTAAAATGATGCTCTATTTCATGGATGCTGAGATAATAAGTTAAAAGGGGACATTCCAAGATCTAATTACATTCTGCAGAAATCTGTTAGGAAGATGTTTAGCTGACTGTATGAGGAACAGTCCCATCCTTCAACATTATAAATGTAATAAAACATACGTATACTCTACCTTCATCTGGAGTAGTATTGTAGTCAGTTGGAGTTTGAGAATTTGTTGGAATGAAACAGGAAGGCAAGGGGATCAAACCTTTTCCTTCAAAAACATATATTAATTCTCCAACCTAAACACAAGCACATAATATCAAATTTTAAAAGCTCATTAAAAATATGACAAATCTTTTAGGTACAAGGAAAATCTTCATACTATAAGAACTTCTATGCATTTTATTTTTCTGAGCAACATGGGCTATAAATGCATAGAGAAAGGTAGTGTTTAAATATAGCCTCACCATGGTGTGGGGGAAACTTTTCATGTAACCAGCAGGGGGTTGATTAAGAAGTTCCCAGAACGATGCTGATAGCAGTTGATCTTCATAACTACAAATATACCAGGGAAATTGCTACCTTAAAATGAACAGACCAGAAAGCAAGGCCATTTATTCTTTAATTATTTAACTTATTAATGGAGTGGAGTGACATAATGTTTTCAGGGTCTGTAAGCCCTTAAAAGTCTATATTTTAAAGTGCAGTTTCAAAATGAGCATGCAAAGCTTTAAAAATCTTTTAGAACAAATAATTAGGCAAGAAGTACAGATGGCTAAACAGAGATTACTAATCCTCCCACAGGTTTACCAAACTTCTGAGTCTTCTGTGAAATGGGATGAATAATATCTTTATTTTAGGAACCTAGAGTTTAAATGAAAAGGAGTAGGACAGAAGGAGTCTCAAAAGACATATCGTACAATCGCAATTGATGAATTTTATTTAGACTCTGATTCAAAGATTCAATTCAAAAGAAGCAAACTGCTAATTGCCAGAGTATTTTCCTCAAATATAAATTACAAATAACTTCTCAGCTAACCATGAGCCTATTAAAATATTATTAACTAGGACGCCATTCAATTCCAATTAATTCTGCAACTCTCACACAGTATAGTGCCACTGCTCAAAAATTATGTTGTCTAACTTGGTCATTTTCAAATGATTTTACTAAACATAACTTAATATAATTGAAAATCACATCCGTCTTGCTCACTTCAGAACACTATTCAAGAAAGCCATAATCTGTAGTGTAATCTAATTTTTTCCTACAGTTTTCTTGGAACAAAATTAAACCAGGAAAGAAACAGAAATGTAATAAATAATTGTGTTACAATAGAATAGTCCTTTATCTTTCAAATCTGAAAGCTGTGACAAGGGGTGGAAATGACTTAATCAATAGCAGACATTTGTCATTATGAACTGTTCTTGTAGTCATCTTTATAAATTCCTTTCTTTAACTCTCACTCTCGCTCTGTCCCTCTCTATCAAATTATAAATTAATAAATTAAAAAAGATTTCTTTCTGTTCTTAATTTCATTATCTTCCAGCTGGCATATGTAGTTACAATTATATTTTCACTGTACATCATTATAGTATTCAAAAATGAGTTTTCCCGGGACCAGCAGTTAGCATAATGGCTATGTCGCTGGACTCCCATGTAGTCGACCATGGTTCGAGTCCTGGACCCGGTGGTTTAAAACTCACGCCGGGTGCGTGTGCATGTGTGCCCAAGATCCTGAGAGGAGAATGGAGGAGGGGATTGCGAGATGGCTATGACCCCTGGGGGGTGATTTCTTGCTTTCTGTCTCTCTGTCTCTCTCTGTCTTTCTGGCAAGCACACGTGCCCTATAGCAAAAACCTCTCCAAAAAAAAAAAAAAAAGAAAGAAAGAAAAGAAAAAGAGTTTTCCCATCCAGAATACTCTGTATATTGGCTTAATCAAGGATATAACCATACATGTTATCGACAAGAAATAATTTTCCATTTTTTGTTTCTTATATATTTTGCTTCATTTTTTTTAGAAACACGCCAAAGCCAATTGTTAATTCCAAGAAACCTTTACAGTAGACCTTTTTTCTTCATCTGTATCCACTTAAACTGAGTCCTCAAATTGCCCAGTTACATGGCACTTTATAAGAACACCAGTTATAAATTTTCCAGAAAGGAGGGATACGGATACTGAATTGGCAGGAAAGTTTTAATCCCAGCTCTGTCACTAATTAACCAGGTAACCCTGAACAAGTCATGGAAGCCCTCCAGATGCAAATAACCTCAATCTTAAGAAAGAAAAAGAAAAAAAGTGTTGACCTAGACATAAAACCTCCATGCTTTCTCATAGATCTTAAATTCTATTTACTCTTTCATCTTGCATGAAGTTCTTTACAAATTTTTTCTTTTATGTTCTGTTTGTTAAACTGACTGAAAAATATATTATTTTGATGATTAACCAGGCGTATGGGAGTTAAACTAAAATCTAAAATATTATATTGCAAACATGAGAGAGAGATCATTAATCATTATAGGTGACTATTTGACTTTGCCATGTTTATAATGTGAACCTAATTGGTAAGGATATACACTGTTTTTTAAAACAATATTTTCATAGAATAATTTATAATAATTAGAGAGAAACAAGGAGATTCAGTGAGAGTAAGAAGACTCTGAAAAAAGATTTGCGTGCCTGCTCTGAAAAATTCAACTTTCTTAACAAAATTTTTACAATTTTAATTGGAAGCCTGAGAGATTAATCCACAGATACTTTGAAAAGCAAGGTATATTTAAATTACATAAAATATTAATGGATTGCTTAATAAAAATACATGATATGCTGTAGGACATCATGTCATCCCATACCAACAAGTTTTACACAGATTTTAGAGGTCACTGTGACAATAAATTGAACAATCTCTATTTTCTTTTATCAGCAGATTTTTCAGAACAGTGTCTATTTGGGACCAGCAATTGGCATAATGGCTATGTCACTAGACTCTCATATTGCCAACCACGGTTCGCGTCCTGGACCCGGCGGCTTGAACTCATACCAGGCGTGTGTGTGCATGCCCAAGATCCCGAGAGGAGAATGGAGGAGAAGGGATTGCGGCATGACCATCCCCCCTGGGGGGTGATTTCTCACTTTCTATCTCTCTGTCTCTCTCTGTCTTTCTGGAGAGCGCATGCGCCCTATTGCGAAAAACCTCTCCAAAAAATGAAAAAAAAAATTTTTTTTGTCAGCAGTTTGTCTTGCAAGTGAATAAAAACATGCTTCCGGGACTAGCAGATGGCATAATGGTTATGTTGCTGCACTCCCACATAGTTGACCGTGATTTGAGCCCCAAACCCGGTGACTTAAAACTCATTCTGGGTGCATGTGCATGTGTCCCCAAAATCCTGAGAGGAGAATGGAGAAGGGACTGTGGTCATGCCCCCAGGCAGTGATTTCTTGCTTTCTGTCTCTCTGTCTCTCCATCAAACACACACACTCTATAGCAAAAATCTCTCTCTAAAAAATAATCTTGGGACCAGCAGTTGGCGTAATGGCTATGTCGCTGGACTCCCATGAAGTTGACTGCGGTTCGAGTCCCGGACCTGGCTTAAACTCAATGCCAGGCATGTGTGCATGTGTGCCCAAGATCCCAAGAGGAGAATATAGGAGGAAGGATTGTGGTGTGGCCCTCCCCCCAGGGGGCGATTTCTTACTTCCTGTCTCTCTGTCTCTCTCTGTCTTTCTGGCACACTCCCTACAGCAAAAACCTCTCCAAAAAGAAAAAATCTTCCTTCCCTTCAAGTGTGAACATTACCCAAACTCTTATCGAGATTCCTCTTTTTATCAATATTCAGCTTTACATTTATTTCTGGTGCCCCCTTCCTTTTTCCTCATTCCTCCCCCAATATTAACATGTTGTTTCTCGTTTTCCATGTTCTTCTCTCTGTCTCTATTGTTAGTTATTAAAGTGTTGTCCTCGGTGTTTCTTATCAGAATTACAGAGGGAAAAACCAAAGGGCAATGTAGGACAGTGGCATGTGGAGTGATGTTATAGATCACAAGTCTCTCACTCAGTCTCTCTGCCAGTTCTGTCTCCAATCCTTTATTCTCTGTTTGGACACTATTGATACTTTCTAAAACAAACACAAAATCAAATCCTTTCTGTTTTCACTGGGTTCCTACTTTCAATAATAACAACAATAATAAAAAGCTAAGATACTCAGTTTAAAATTCATTGCACTATTATTCCTTCATCTGCTGTGTTTCATTTGAAGAGGTATCCCCTGGAGCTAAATCTTAATATCCCAGGCGTGTGGAATCTTTATAGAATAACTGGTAGTTCCATTGACAAGGAATCCAGGGGATACCCCCAGGAATAAGTAACTACCTATTAGGTGTAAAATGCTCACTTTCAGGTTGTTTCCTCATATTTTTATTGAAAAAGACTACAGTGCTGGGACTGGCAGATGGTGTAATGGTTACATTGCTAGACTCCCACATGTGAGTTCCAGACCCAGGGGCTTAAAACTCACATATGTGCATGTGTGCCCAAAATACTGAGAGAAGAGATTGTGGCATGCCCATCCCTCTTAAGGGACGTCTTCCCACTTTCTGTCTCTCTGGTGAGCACATGCACCCTATAGCAAAAATCTCTGTGAAAAAATAAAAAAAGACTACAGTACTTATTGTAGAATGAAAGTTTTATAGTTAATAACATAAAGAAGGGTGGCTGAAAAAAGGTCTTATAGTATGGAGGGAACTGAAACTGTGTAATTTTCTGAATATTTAGCATATTCACTGAGACTTCAGGCTTCATATAACCTGCCTTATAATTGCCAGCAGGCATTATTGGGTTAATAAATGTTTCAGAGTATTTATAGGCCATTTGTGATTTCATTTTCCCTGTTTTCCCAGGAACTCAGAGGTGTGGCCTATGGGAAGAAGTGTAGTTACTTCTTCCTTCTCCCAAAAAGTAGTAGTGACTAATTGAATAAAACATCAAAGAGTAAATGAATATGGCTTGCTATTTAATATCATGGAAAATAAAAAGAAATTATCCTCAAACAATACTCAGTCTCTCAAGCTAAAAGAGTATCTTTCATAAAACTCAAATTGCTTTGCCTAAATATAAAATTACATAAAAATTTTAGGACAATATAATGTAATGTCTTACCTACACATTCAATAAACTGAAGCAAAAACCTATACTGTTAAATTCTGCACATTATGACTTTTAAAAGTTGCACTTTTTTTGTAGAATATTTCATTAGGTCGTTGGTAAAGTTATGACGCATTTTTCTGTTTTTCTATGCAAAAA